TTATAGTTATAGCATGGCTCATTTAGTATAAAGTTCATGTGGAGCTTGATGGACAAATTACAATGATTCTCCTCTCATTTCTCCTGCAATGAACTGTTTTTTTGTGGGAGGGTTAATGGGGTATTGGTTTTGATAAACCTGGACTCTTTAATATCAAACTTTATTTTCTTTTTTTGTGATTATGGATTTTGTATGGTTTTGCTTTGTCTGTTGTGTTTTGTTTTTCTTTTTAGGTCTATGGATGAAGAGTCATTTCCGGGAAGACACATTGCTTTAGGATGTCTAGCTTTATCATGTGCACAATTTATGTTAGATTATGTCTGTGGTGATGTTTATATAGATCTGCGATTATGATATCTAAAATGTTTAAAATTGTGTCATGTGGAATGTGAGGGGGATTCACTAAAAAAGCAAATGGTTTTTTTATACTGTTAATTTCTTTTGACCATCTGTAATGCAGGAATTCCTCTAGAATAGCTTATTCAGAAGTTGGGCGATGAATCACAACTGCGGAGTTCACAATATTCGATTTAATGTATACTGATCAATCAGGGTAACTGGTAGCAAACAAGTGACTTCAGTGTAAACTTTCTGGATTCTGTATTACCTCATACAGAACAACTTTATCCCATGGTAACGTCCACAAATAGAAATAATGTCTAGGAGTAGATTGAGAACTACAAGTTTTTTTGTACAAGCAGAAATTCTTGAGTGTCCCTTTAAGAGAGCAGTTTGACACATGTAATAGAAGTATAAGATAGAAAGCTTACCAACAATAGTCTGATAAAGTATACTTGCAGTTAGAAGGGACAGCAATGCTGGAACCGCTATATGATGCCATGGCAAATCAATAAGTCCTAGTCCTGGAAGTAATAATTACCCTATTACTCTTATGGAGTTTGAGACAGCAGTAGCCAGCTTTTCTAATACTAAAGGCCCTGGTACTGATGGTCTGTCTATTGAGGTTTGTAAAACCTTGTGGCCTGGTGTTACTTCCAGCACTTCTTGATGTATTTAATGAATCTTTAGCCTCTGGCAAACTTCCTTTGTCCATGATTTAGGCCATAATGGTAGTAATTCCGAAGAAAGATAAGATCCTATGCTGCGCGAATCTTATATACCTATTTCGCTGCCAACTACAGATGTGAAAGTCTTGGCAAAGGTCCTTGCTAATAGGTTGAATAAAGTAATCTCTTCCATAATACATCTGCATCAAATGGACTTTATGCCAAACTCCTCTACTGCGATTAATATTAGGAGGGTATTCCTCAATATGCAGATTCCATCAGAAGCATAGGATAGTGTCGAATGGTCATATCTTTGGGCTGTCTTACGTAAATCTGGGTTTGGAGAGACCTTTTGCAATTGGGTAAAATTGTTGTATGCATGTCCTACTGCCTCGATTTGTGTTAATAACCACTATTCACTATCGTTTTCTTTAGGTTGCGGCACCAGGAAGGGATGAACTCTGTCACCGCTCCTTTTTTGCAGTGGCGATAGAGCCCGTAGCCTGTCTGCGATGTCAATCTTTGGAGGTGGCTGGGTTCCAGAGAGGTCTGCAGGAACAATAGGTTACCCTCTATGCAAATGACACCCATTTGTTTCTTGCAGACACTAATTTCTCTCTTGTAGGGGCGATGTCTTTGATTTCAGAATTAGGTGACTATTTGGGGCTGAGAATTACCTGGGACAAGTCTCAGTTGCTTCTTTCTAGACCCCTAGTCGACCCCCTTAATCCACTCTTTAGCCCATATTAAGATAATGCCTCATAATAAGTATGTAGGAGTTGTGATTTCTGGCAATATTGCGGATTACCCTTTGCTGAATCTCTCTCCCCTGATCTCCAAATTATGGTCTCAATCTAGGATGGGCCGTACCAACCTCCTGAAATGATTTGGATGCTCTCAATTGTTATATCTATTGCACCACGTCCCCTGCTGGTTGCCTTGCTCTTTTTTTCGTAAGGTGGCTGCATTGTTTAGGGACCATTATTTGAAAGAAGAAATATTCAAGAGTTAAAATTGAATATTTACAATATCCTAAATGATGGGCGGCCTTGTGACTCTTAACGCATGGATATATTTTTTGGCCACTTAGTTACAACATAGAACTGGCTGAGAGCGAGGGAATGCTCCATCTCATCCTTTCATATTGTATCTTCTTTTTTTGCAAGGTACACACTCTGTATACACTTTGGACACCTCTGCCTATTTACAGAGTAGGGCCCAACTACCAACAATATATTTGATGGGGAAGTTCTGGCGTATGGTTAAAACAATCTTCGGTCTTTCAGGATATACGAGATATGCCTCCCTACTGCATAATAAATCTTTGTTGGAATTGTATAATTTAGAGGGGTTTTATAGATGGGAGAAAGCAGGGTTTTGTTTTTTTTTAACACTTTTTTAACTTTACTCTGAGGGAGTTCTTAAGTCCTTTTCGCAATTGTAGTCTGAATTTGCTTTGTCGGGTACCTGGTTTTCAATATTTACAGCTTAGACATGCTTTACAGTCACAACTGAGGGGGACAATGCTGTACTTCTCTCCTACTACTGATTGTATAGCACAAGCTCAGCTTACAAAGGGTTTAATCTCTGTAACATATATACATCTGCTATGTAAATATTTATTGAAATACCCCATGCCCTGTTGGACCAAATGGGAGGTGGATTTGGGTCCTATTGAGGACGAGGTGTGAGAGAGGGTACTAAAATTGGCTCCTTCATATTGCATTCCCTGTTTCATAGACCTACACAACTTTTTATACTTTTCTTTATAAAATTGGAACTAGATCTGATCCTAATTGTGGTCGTTGTACTCATGGTAATGGTTCAATTTATTGTGGAGATGCCCAAAATTAAGACGATACTGGCATGGTATGACTGTTTCATGGGATATATGGTGTTCAGTTGGAAGTAGATCTTTGCCATGTCTATTGGGATATATTGGGTTACCTCACGTGGATAGATACACATTAGCTGTGAGAAGGTTAATAGCAGTAAAGTGGGTTTCTCCATATTCCCCAACAAAAGATGAGCGGATTGCAGAAATTAATAAATATATTCTGTTTGAAAAATACACATATAGATTGCACCAGAATATGCTTAAATTTGAATTGACATGGTCCCAATGGTGAATAGTAGTGTGCAGCTCTTTCCTCTTCAAAAACCTTGTAGCTTTGGAGTGTGGACAGCTCTTGGCAAGCACCCACATACACCTGGGAGCCGGGCACTGGTGTTAGATCGAGCGGTGAAGCTCTCATTTTGTCTATATATTACTCAGGAACTTGAAAGATGCCTTTCATGCTAAGGTTAGTATATTAATACCATATATGCTCGTTTGCACTTAATACATAGAAACGAATAAAGTACTTACTTACACATAAAGGTTTCTATAGCCTCCACACATACAAACTGTGGTGATCATTGCTCCTTTTTGTCTCTAGACCTCTTGTACTCACATGACTTAGTCCTAAAATGAGTAAATTAATTACTCTACCATACTCTACCAGACTTACTAGACTCAGGTTTTATTTTGCCAGGAATTTATCATGGTCTATACACACCTTTTGGTCCCTGTGTTATATCCTGCTACATCACTTGTGGTCCAACGAAGATACGGAGTTGTGATCACAGTATGTGATGATGTCATCACACAGCAATTGAGAGATTGAGGATTGCAAAATGCCCTGCCAGGTGTATAAAAATTAGGTTCTGCAGATTCCAGATGGAGGCAATGACCCAAGGACAAAAAGTACATGGACAGTGCTGGAGAAAGTTATTACTGAGAAACAGTATCTTTGGAATGGTTCCCAGGGTGCTTAGTTATGCAAATAAAAGGGAAATTCTCTCACAGGGTGCTTGGTCACTTTCTAAACTTCTCTGTGTTGTGTAGAGGGAATGCAGCTTGTGGGGTGCCCTGTTTATCGCCATTATTGTTTAGTTGATCATCTTTCAATCAAAAAGTAGTCCATTGGTGGTTTCTAAGGTGCTAGCAGAGGGACTAATAAAACACTAGACTATTAAAAATGTCAAATAAAAATGTAGAATATCAGTGCATAAACTCTAGCCATCCAGGTGAGAGAATATAAAAAAATAACTTTGGAAAGAAGAAATAAAAACACTTTAAAAACACAAAATGTTAAAGCAACAAGTTGCTTGGAAGAAGCATCAGGGGAAATGAGTGAAACAAATATGCTCTGCTTCTTCTATATAGTGGATATCAGGATTTCATGTGAGAAATATGAAGAGATGCTAAAATGATTCATAACTGTAGGTATAATCAGGCAAAGCAATGTCATTCATTAGTATACCGATAAAAAAACTGATATAGGACAACAACAAAAAGCATGAAGATAAAAAAAAAGTTAAGCAGTAACCTATGGGAAAAGAGCGCAGTACAAAATCTATTACAGAAGCGTTTATCTTTGAAATCAGATCAGTACAAAATTCCTTGATTGCCAAATGTATTCGTGATAAAAAGCATCACCTTTGGGAGAGAAGTAATGCAGAGAACGAATGAAAGAAAGCAAATTAACAATTTAAATAAAACAAGGTCACTAAAGAATTTGGAATAGAATCAAAGGAGCAGTTGATGAGCAGGTGTGCGTGTGTATGTGTACGAGCAAGGGGGGTGGTGGGGATGAAAAGCCATGTACTTTCATTTGTTCAGTGAGACTGTCGTTTCTAAAAGAGTATTAAAGGCATGTGTACTAGGCCTCCATATCCAAAAAGGCATTCAGTACGTCAATGCAGGAAAGGTGATAAAAGATTAAAGTTAAATGCTAGAACAAAAAAAGCAAGTCGGTAAACTGAGTGATAACGTAGAAAGGCTACACAGAGGCAGCAACCAGTGTAGCAGTAAGCTAGTAAAAACTACAGTTCAGGCAGAATCTACCCAGTTAAGACAGTCATAATGACACAGAAAGTGTGGGATGATGGGAAATAATGCTTGAAGAAACACAGGAACACAGAAAATCAAAATGTAAATTATCTATTTACCTGTCAACTGAGACGGCAGCCAAGGTAAAACTGCTGGCATACATTGACAAGTAGATGGAGAAGTGAACTGCTTTACAGAGGAAAGCTCCAAATAACCATCCATCCAGGGTGTATATGGTGGCCTGGAAAGGGACGCATAGTAGTATAAAACATAAGTCTGCCACTCCTAGGTTTAGAATAAAGAGGTTGGTTGTGTTGTACTTAGTCTGGCCATTCCTCAGGAGCACAACCAAGACTAATCCATTTCCTACTGTGCCTAGAGCAAATATCAAGGAGAACACCACAGGCACAATGATTCCCCCAGGGGGCAATTCTGATGTAACAGAGGCATTCCAAGCTTGAGACATTGCTCCGCTGCTGTCACCAGCCCTGTGGAGAATACAGAGAAATTAATACAGTAAACAAATATATTGTATAGAAGTCTTGGAATGTGCTATTCTTAATGTATGCAAAGTTCGATTTTAACATAACAAAAAAACAATTTTTCTTTTAAACATTGGGTACATTTTCATTTTACCCAGGGGCATGCCCAAATGTCAGCGCTTTAAAACTCCCTGCCTAACTCCTGATCTGCTTTACCTTCTGTGGCAATGCTCAAAATAGGACAAATATCATGCAAATTGCACGGAGATCGTCTGGCAAACTTTGCCCCCAAGTTGGCATAAGTTGGTGCTGAGATCTCAACGCATCGTGATCCAGACCAACAAGGCCTCATACATACAAAGGTATGTCCAGACTCCCTACGTAAGGCTCCGGGGCCAAAACAATTTTTTTTCTAAAGATCAATGTTACTCTAAACCACACATGTGACACAGTCCCTTTGCCAGCTTCAACCTGCTGCTTCTCTACACAACCCAATGTTTACAGCAAATCCTTGCTGTTCCACAGATATCTGCTAGTATCTACCTGCTGTCTCTCTATCAATGTATGCAGCTAGTCACTGCTCTGCCAGCTTTAACCTGCTGCTTCACTATAGCCATCAATGTATGCAGCTAGTCATCACTGTTCCACAGCCGCTGCCAGGTTCTGTCTGCTGCTTCTTTATACCCATCAATGTATGCAGCTAGTCACTACTGTTCTGCCAGCTTCTACCTACGGTTTCCCTAGTTTCTCTATATCCAGACCCTGCTGTGTCACAGCCCTCTGCCCGCTGCTTCACTATAACCACCTATGCATGTCCACATGTTTTTAATGGCGTGAACCCGTTTATTTTATGACACTTGCTGCTCTACCACCGCTCTAGCAACCAGAAAATACTTTTAGCTGCAGTGACTGCCTCTGTAAAGTCACCTATTGGCAAGACACTGTATGCACACCCAGGTTCTAGCACAGAGGAGACCCTGGTGTAATATCACTCAGTTATCTACTGTACTAGTTTTTGTAATACGGGGGGGGATGGGTGCTGCTAATTCGATTAGGTCCGTGCACTGTTTGGGAGGCTGCCTGTACCCCCCGTGGACATTAATTTAATGGTATGGCAGATGAGATGAGATATTGTTTATCCACGTTTATACCTTTATTGCTATTGTATAGCATAGATGCATTCCTATATCATTTTCAAATGATATGCCTTCCTGTCTTTGTATTATATGTTCATATTTGTTGTTATATCTCTGACAACTTTTGAAAACCAATAAAAAGTATCTTAAAAAACAATCATTTTACCCACAATGTATTAGGTAATTTTCTCAGTTGAAGGGATGTTTAATGCTTTTAATAACTCCACACCACAAAAAAATTATTTCTATTGCTAGAAGGGCAGTTGATGCTTTCGAAGAGCTCTGGAGAAGTGGACAACACATAAAGCATATTGATTTTTCAAGCAAGTGGTTATGAAAGATTTGGGCAAACAGCTACCATCATCTTACTTATTATTACAATATGTGAAGTATAACTCTTATCAGCACCAACATAAGCATTGTATCACATTATAAAAGCACTTGCATATATCTAAAACAAAATATATTTAAAAATATATTTTTGCGTAAACCAATATAGATATGATACCTGAAAACTATAATGAATGCTGAATATTACAATATAGATAGCATTTTATTTACTTGTCTATAGGAAGCAACTAAGCTTGGTCATCATTAGTGAATATACATAAAATAAAAATAAATATATTCACTAAATGTAAAACTAAACAAAACACTAACACAATACGATTACTGACTTATACAATAAACATCTACATACTGGTCAATATATCAGTGTTGCACTTTGAACAAAACTGTATGCACACAACACCTTAATCTACACTCATTAAAACACAATTCATTATTTTTACTCATCTTATAACAAGTCAATGTTACACATACCATTGTGATCAATCATCAGACATGCAGAAGAATCTAACAGAGTTACAGTGTCCCTTTATCCATGCACATAAGACATTTGTTAACACAAATTTTAAATCAAATAATAAACACGCATAATTAACATTCCATTATCACGTGAAGCTGTATAGCTTATTTGCAAAAGCTAATTACATTCCCAGCAGCCATGGTCGCTCTATTCAAGTCACTTCTGGCACATGTTTAAATGTCCAAGTAGATATATATTTAGAAAAACTGCTTGAGATGTATGGCATGTTAATGTGTGATACGTTACAGATTACCTGTCTGATCTTCTGTTTCCCACCATATGCTATTGTGGTAGAGTGTGTGTTGCAAGGTCTATCAGATATGTTATGTGAATACTGCATGCCTGTGTTTCAGTAGGATTCTCAAATATGTGCCTCAGGATTTTTGGTGGTCAGTTACATGTTTGCATAGGCACCTGTCTGCTAACGCCATGTACATGTAAATGAGCTTCTGTAGAAGTATTTATAAGTCTCATGTGGCTATGAAGCTTTGTGTATGTTGCTATACAGTGTTTCGCTGCGTGCAGTGTGTATATAAAAGATCTTTCTTCCCTTACCTTCTGTCTAAGATGCCGTACTTGTTTCATCTCTCTCTATGCAGCTCTCCCTCTATTCTCCCTCCTCCTTTTACATTCATACTATCCCTCCTGCTTTCACAGTCTCTTTCCCCCTCTAGATTTTCATATGGCTTGCCTTGATGCACACAGAATGTCCAGCTCAGTCTATATGTCACTATTACCTCATATCTATATTTATTATTTACAATATAACGCTTTCAATTCCAGAGCTGTATTTTTTCATATTTTCTTACAAACCTCAAAAAACAAAAAATAAAGATAAGTACCATTATGTGTCTGCATTTCTTATCTCTATCTCTTTTTATTTATTTTGCTGTACCTCAGTCAATCTCTTATCCATCTATAACACACATCATATATATGATATATGATATGCAAGAACATTTACCATTCATTCGTTGATATTTTTTTCCCCGATGAAAATATCATAGGAGAAAAAGTGATAGTTGAGCCGTTACAGTGCTATTTGTTTTTTTTTTTTTGCTAGTATCCTTTATTTCAGGGGAGGGTGTATTCTGAGAACACGAAGCCTGTAAGGAGTTGACATTAATGAATGATTGATAATGTTGCTTATGCTGCCAAAAGGGTAGTCAATAATATTTTCCTGGATCTTTTTATGATGTCTGGAGTGGTTGTATAGCATAAAGCTCATAGCATAAAGCACATGCTACAATCTTACAGTACAGTCCTTTAGATCTACCAACAACTATGCAGTGTAAAGGCCTGTCTGATTGTATAGTTTAGATTAGTCCTAATATTACACAGTTTTGGCAAATATAAAGGTGATTGTACAAAACCTGTTTAGTCAGATATACTGTATGGTGAGGTTAAAACAACAGAAGCAGTGCTGTCTTTCCAGGAAGATGTGGGCATGACTAGGTATGGCCAGGGGCTGATTGAAAAGCTACAGGCTTGTAAATCATCAGTGATAATGCGTATAGCCATGTCCAGTGCCACGACAAGGTTATCCAATATCCAGGGTAAAGCAAAAAAAAAAAGATGCAAAACTGTGCAACCCCTCCCCCTGGGTGGAGCAGGGGTGATAGAGACATGCACATGCGGTGAGCATGTAATGCAATGGTTGCAGCCAGAGGCCTAACCAGAAACCTCAGGGCCCCGGTGCAAGAAGCCATGAAGGCCCCCCGCTGTGGTGCATTGGCCTGCTGGGAGCTGTAGTCCCAGGAGGCAATCTCGGAGCCTCGGCAGTTACTGGGCTGCACCCTGTTCTTCCTTTCCAGGCCCTCTAAGTAGCAGAACGCCAGTGCCTGGTCGCACAAATGCGACCCTGGGGGTATAACAATAAAGGCATGCTGGGACTTATAGTTGAACTACAACCAGCATGCCTTCATTGTCCCTGTGCACACCTCCACATCACCCAGGGAACTACAAGGCCCATCATGCCCTCATTGTCCTTGTACACCCCCACATATAAATCACCCAGGGAACTACACGTTCCAGCATGCAAGCCCCCTGCAGTAGTTCCCTGGGTGAGAGGTGTAAAGGGACAGTGATTGCATGCTGGGACTTGTAGTCCCCTGTATAATAGAAGGCGGTTTTAATTACTTTCCTCATGAAAATACTAATAATACAATGGCATTATAGTACAGCAATTTTCAAGTTCAACTATGTTCTATTTTACGCTTCTATAATGACATTGTATTACTAGTACTTTCATGAGGACAGTAATTAAAACAGCCTTCTATCATACAGGGAACTACAAGTCCCAGCTGAACTGCCGACTTGTAGTTTTCCAGTAATACAATGACATTATAGAACATGGAATAGAATTTAGTCAGTTCCAAATTCAGCCATGTTCTATTCAATATTCTATAAAGGAAAGTACTTACCTCAGCTGTCACGGTCCTCTTGTTCTCCCAGCTGAAGGAAGCTCAAGCAGGCTTTAAAAAAAAACCACACTAGCGTGGGGGACAGCAGTCGGGAACATCCAGGCGAGTCTCTCTGTAGTATCAGGACGGCTGCTGCTGGGTCCTCGCGGCCGTGTTCACTGCCGGCCCGCCCGCCCGCTTGTCACCTGCTGGTGACCGGCGCAACCCTCAG